CTGCCCTGCCCACTGCAGCGGGAGAGGTGGGGGTGGTAGAAAGGAAGGTGGTATACCTGAAGTCTTGCAGGAATATTCCTGCAACAGGTGCCTAGGATAGATAGATAGATAGATAGATAGATAGATAGATAGATAGATAGATAGATAGATAGATAGATAACAGATTTTACCATCTTAAGCATTCCCCCCTCCCCCCCTTTTTTTTTAGAGAGAGAGTGGAAGGGAAGAGGAGAGACACACATACAGAACTACCCTGTTTCCCCGAAAATAAGACAGTGTCTTATATTAATTTTTTCTCCCAAAGTTGTGCTAGGTTTTATTTTCAGGGGATGTCTTATCTTTCCACACGCTAGGTCTTATTTTCGGAGGATGTCTTATTTTCAGGGAAACACGGTATGAATGTGAGACCAACATCAATTGGTTGCCTCCCGCATGTGCCCCGACTGGGGCTAGGGATCGAGCCTGCAACCAAGGCACATGCTCTTGACTGGAATCTAACCTTTGACTCTTCAGTCTGCAGGGCTATGCTCTATCCACTGAGACAAATTGGCTAGTGCCTGTCTTAACCATTTTAAGTGTACAGTTTAATGGCATTAAATTGTGCATCTACTTCTAGAACTCTTTTCATTTTGCAAAACAGAAATTTTTACCATTAAACAACTCCTCATTCTTCCCTCCCCCAGCCCCTGGCAACCACTATTCTATTTCCTGTCTCTATGAATTTGACTAATTAGGTACCTCATATAAGTGCAGTCATTAATACTTATCCATTTGTGTCTGATTTATTTCTCTCATGGTAATGTCCAAAATGTTTATCCATAGTGTAGCTTGTGTCAGAATTTCCTTCCTTTTTCAGAGTGAATAGGTAGATATTCAATTGTATATATACACCACATTTTATTTGTTCAGTTATCCATTGCTGGACACTTGGGCTTTTCTTCCATCAGTATTTATTGAGTCCCTTTTATACATCAGTTTTTATTACACAAACACTTATTGACTGCCCTTATGGGCCAGATTCTATTATAGGTATGGGGAATTGCTGCAAAAGTAAGCATATTAAATTAAGTTGCTGCCTCCAGAGAGCTTATATTTATTGGGGACTGAGGATGGAAAGATAAACAATACACAAACATATTTCTTGATTCTAAATGAAAATTTTTCACATTTTAGTGTTTCTGAAAGTGGGTGTACCTAATAATTTATGACAATTTAGAATTATATTTGCCACTGTTTCTTTTTTAGTGACACCTAAAAGAATGGTGTCTCTTACAATCAATTTGAGTGATAAATTTGATGAATCACTAATAAGGCATTTGTTAATAAGTGCTATGAAAAAATAAACCAGAACAAAGAGGATAAGGAGTCACAGGACTTTTCACAAATAATGTGATATTGGAGCAGATGACATTTTTTTTATAGCTGGACTTCCTCCCTGAAGATGCAGTGTATTGATTCACATTTTGACACAAACTTCTCTATGGACGGGTAGCAGCTTGTGAACTGGCTACTTTGCATAGCACTGGTATAGAGGGTGGAGTCCTGGCAGATGGAGATGAACATGGGGGTTAGAGAGCATTTTGCAAAATGGGCTCAATTATAGGCACAGTAAGGGCAAAGGTGACAGAATTTTCCATCTCAGTAGCTGGCAGCAGTTCTAGTTGCTCAACAAAAACTTGAGTCATCTTTGACTTCTCTATTTGCCCATTTTGTACACCCAGTCAGCCAGCAAATCCTGCTTGCTGTACCTTCCAACCATCTCCCAGTTTTGACCATCTCCACCTAAACCATCCTGGTCCTGGCCATCATCATGCCAGGATCATCTTGATAGCCTCCTTACCTGTCTCCATTCTTCTACATCCCCCTTCCTGTGATGTCTTGTCAATTTAGCAACCAAAGTGGTCCTAGAAAATATGTTTGATCATGTGATACTCCTGCTTTAAATCCCTCAAACTGATCCTTTCGGAGGAAAGATTAAAGTCCTCTGTAAAGTCCTACAGAGCTCTACACTATTTGTCTCCCACATATTTGACCTTATATCCTACTTGTCTGCCTTGTGCTTATTCTGCTTTTAGCTGCGTAGGTGGTCTTACTGTTTCCTGGTTTTTTTTGTTTGTTTTGTTTTGTTTTTTGTTTTTTGTTTTGTTTTTAATTATGTTGAGCATGTTCCTGTCTCAAAGCAATGCTCTTTACTCTGCCAGGAATACTGTTCCCCCGGATACCTGGTTGGCCTACTTTCACAGGTCTCTGCTCAAAGCTCACCTTTTTAGAAGGGCCTTTTAACCACCATCTTTCCCTACTAGTACTGTTTTCCACTAAACCAGGATAAGCTAACTTGTGCTCTAGCAGCAAGCAACTCCAAATCGCAGGGGCCTAAACAACAAGGTTTGTTTCTCACTGATGGTATCCTTCTGTGGCAAATCACCTGGGAGGTCCACTTTACATCTGGGTAATAGTATGGCCACCATCTTGAGTATTGGCAAAAGGAAAGTCCATTCACTAGCTCTTCAAATATCTGCCTTGAAGTAATGTCTATCAATGACTTGGCCAAAGTGAGTCATGTTGCCATACCTAACTTCAGTTAGGGATGGGGAATGGGTGTGTGGCAGTCCTATCAAGTATTTTAAAAGAAACCTGGTAATCTATGATGGATGATATAGCCATATTCTTTACCCTGCTTAATTTTCCTTTCTTTTTTGTTTTTAATATGTTTTTATTGATTTTCAGAGAGAGGAAAGGAGAGGGAGATGGAAACATCAATGATGAGAGATAATCATCTATCAACTGCCTTCTGCACACTCTCTCCTGGGGATGGAGCCCACAACTTGGGCATAGAAATTGAACCACCCTCATGGTTCAATGGTTCATGGGTCAATGCTCAACCACTGAGCCACACCAGCCTGCCCTGCTTAAATTTTCTGTAGTATTTATTTCCATTGGACATAGTGCATAGTTGCTTTGTTTGTGTATTTTCCTTTCTCTCTTGTCTGGACTGAAAACACCACAAAAGGGGAGGGTGCTTTCATTTACTGCTATACCCCAAGGCCCCAGGGATAATACATGGTCAAGAGTAGATGCTTGCCGAAGCCGGTAGAGCGTCGGTCTGCGGACTGAAAGGTCCCAGGTTTGATTTCGGTCAAGGGCACATCCCCGGTAGGGGGTGTGCAAGAGGCAGCTGGTCGATGTTTCTCTCTCATCGACGTTTCTAGTTCTCTATCTCTCTCCCTTCCTCTCTGTAAAAAATCAATAAAACATATTAAAAAAAAAAAGAGTAGGTGCTTGTTAATTTTAGAGAATGACTGAGAATACTAAAGCATGTCATTCATTTATTCAATTGGTGACATGTAAGCCAAGTTGGAAGTGTGGAGCAGGGAGATTTGAGGAGAGAGGATAAGATGATGTGAAATAAATTGGAGAGTAGATTTACTAGAGAAAAGCAATAGAATTGTCAGTTTGAGACTTGAGACTATGAACTTACCGTGAAATCTTGCAGCTCAGTGATTTGATTTTCTTTAGTAATGCCGAGTTACTCAGGAGCTGGCCTGGAAGAGGCAGCAATAAATGATCCTGGCATGAGCCTGTTTCACAAGGAATGGTGGAAGCCCAAGCTGAGGAAGACAACATGGTTCCAGCTGCCTTACATTACCCCTGCTCCATCTTTGGTCCTGTCAGAATAATAAAGGAGCTTGCCTTTACAGGAAGCCCATTCTCCTGGGGTGGTGTGATTGCAATTGCAGAAGCAGTTTTCCCTATTTCATTTACTTTTCATAACACTTTTGGGGTAGCTTTTCTTATCTTCATTTTACAAGTGAGGAAAACTGAGGCTTAAACCGCTGGAGATAGAATTTAGGTTGATTAAGCTCACAGCCATGGTACTCTGCTCTGCTTTTGATGTATATTTATTGTTTCTTCTATACTTATTGAGGCCATGGGGAACCTCTGATCTGGGGGTAGGGAGCTCTGTTAGCTTTTAGATTTCTTGGAGCCTTGATTGTGTCTCAGTCATGAAGACAGTATGCAACCACTGTACTAATGGTTTCAATTTAGATGTTGTAAGACCTTAACAGAGAGGAAACAGTTGGGCTATTTTTATATACTTAAACTCTTTACCAACTGTAATTAGTAAATTCACTCCCAGGGAGTTTCTTGTGAATACTATTGAAATGATCCTTGTACCACCTGAGAATGTCTCCATCAGTGATACTTTTCTGTTGTCTATCCTGTTGATCTGAACCTTTCTTAGGAGCAAAAGGTTGTGCTGGGCTTTATTGCCAAAAGAGAGAAGGGAAAGCAGGTGGCCTTTCTTATAAGTCTTTAATGTAGTTCAGAAGGCAAAACAAGTACAAAATCCTAATTATCCAAATAGTCCCTGGAAACGGGTGCAGAATGGGGGCAAAGGGATCCTCAGGCTTCACTAAAATGCTTCACTGAGATGGACGAAGGGAAGTGGAAATGGTGTTGTAATTTGAAGGCTGCATAATGTTTAGAAAAGGTTCTTAATGGAAAGCGGACTTGGGCTCTAGTCATACGCATGGTGGATAATCTCAGTAGGCCACTGCAGTTAGTAATGTTAGCACTTTTAACCACATTTTAATTATTTTTAATGTGTTTATGTATGTAAATCCTGCACATGCTCAAAAGCTAACCGGTCAATTTGATAGATAGCATACTCTTCTATTTCTTTGCACTTTGGTGACCATGTTCTGAAAGATACTTTATGGAAGTTACTGGCTGTAAACTTGGTTTAGTCTCACATAAGAGCCAACTGACAGTGAAAACCTTGCCAATAAATTCCACTTCTTTTTCAGTGCCCTTTGGCCACTTACCTCTGTAGGTAGATGTTTTGAAATGTATGTTAATGAGAACTAAATTCCAGAATTTGTGCAGTTTATTTTCCATTTTGTTTTAAAAATAAATTCTCTTGCTTTTTTTTTTACTCGTGTGTGTTTTTTAAATCTTAGGAACAATAATTCTCAAAATGGTTTTCTTTTTCCCTCCAGACAAGGCACCTCTATCTAAGAGTCTTTTACTGGTCCCCAGTGCCCTGTCTCTTTTGCTGACTCTACTCCTGCCACACTGTCAGAGGTTCTTCCTGTATGACCTCCAAGCAGTCAAGGATGACTTCCAGGTGAGCTCTGCTTCATTGGCCTTTGGGAAGGGAGAAGGCAGGTTTTTCCATAGATTTGCCTTTTCTTTCTGCTACTCTTAGTCCCTCAAAGCCTCTACATTTGCAAGTAATACTATTTATCATTAATAGTCTATTAACTAGTTCTCTAGCTTTATTTATTGATGTTTTTAGCAAAGCAGATTCTAATGAAGCAATTGCGGTACTAGACACCACCCACCTCTTTTCAGTTACTTTTTACCCATGAAAATGCAATTTATAATTTCAAGAGAATTAAAAACAATGTTAAATTTGGTTTTTAGTGATTAGAATGTAGCATTTAAAAAACCTGCATCAGTTTGAATATTGATTGGATAATCTAAGCTCTTTCAGCTCTAACAGATAATTGATTCTATGAATTACTTTTATAGTGATGGTTAAACCAAGTAGGAAATTTCTTTTGGGTTTTTGCTGCTGAGAAGAGTAGAATTCTATGGTTTTCAAGATTTATGGGCTAATTTCATGGAACATGCTGGTGCTGGGTCTTAGCTATGAGTTGGAGTATTAGTGCAAATTGTGGTGTATAAACCTACCACCTTTTCTTTGCTAAATACTTCAGCTATCCACAATAATCCACATGTACACCCTAAAAATGTAATTAATACCACTCAGGTTAGTTTCACCAAGTTCCTGTGAAGGTCTTCCAATTATTTTCTGTTAGAATATAGTATAGATTCTATATTAATTCAGTTGCTGTAATGCAATGGTTCAGTTTGGCTGAGAAGTTGGTATCTTCCTGATTTGGGGGGTTAATTGGTTACTCTGATTAAGTAGGCAAGCATCCCCTTCCACTTCACCACTTTATGGGCATCTATACTCTGAAGATAAAGAGGACAACCATTCTTTGGTCCAGGAATGTGAATAGGCACCACTCTCCTGCTAGAATCTCCTAAGGAGTTCTCACTTTGCTTTTATAAGAGCAGCTACAGAGATAAGAAGTTTCAGTTCTGCCGAAACTGATTTGGCTCATTGGGTAGAGCGTTGGCCTGTGGACTGAAGGGTCTCAAGTTCAATTCCGGTCAAGGGCATGTTCATTGGTTGCCGGCACATCCCCGGTAGGGGTTGTGCAGGAGGCAGCTGGTCGATGTTTTTCTCTCATCGATGTTTCTAGCTCTCTATCCCTCTCCCTTCCTCTCTGTAAAAAAATCAATAAAATATATATTATGGAAAAAGAAGTTTTAGTTCTGCCTTGAGAAATCTAAACATACACATACATAAGACATACGTGTACATGGAATCCTCAGGGATGATAAATGAAGTAGGGACCAGTGTAGAATGGAATAGCTCTGGAGAGCCATAAAGATTGGAATTTTCCATTTGGTCTGAAGGAAGGGATGCCAGTTTATTAGCAGTAGAGAGGGAAGAGCATTTTACTTCCCAAAGCAATATGTACTTCAAACCGTTATAGATGCTGTATGGGAAGCATGGTTGGAGATGAATACAGGGTTACATTGGATGAGGACAGGAGGGACAGTTGGTGAAGGGCTTTCTTTTGCAAGTGTGGAATCTCCCACATTTTGACACTTACGGCAGAGATCCTGCCTCTAGTGTTTTTCAGGTTGAATGCAGAAGTAGTGCTTTGTTGAGTGTAAGTCAGTGATTAATTTTTATAAGGAGCAGGCACCTTATAGTAATCCCCAATGATTTATTCTTATACTGGGTCATGAGTTTTTGTGTCCTTAAGCATAGGACAAATTACAAAATTATTTAAAAGTGTAGTTTCTAGTTGTTGTTTTTTTGTCATTAACTAAAAAAAACAACAACAAAAAATGGACTTCTATAAACCTAATTTATTAGATTTAAATAATTGTAAAGTCTTAATGTCCTTAATCCCCCAGATTTTTCTAGTGGTTCTCAGGGCTTTGCCCTCAATGGAATATATAGCTCTCTCTCTCTCTCTCTCTCTCTCTATATATATATATATATATATATATATATATATATAGAGAGAGAGAGAGAGAGAGAGAGAGAGAGAGATATCAAAATGTGAGGAATATAAGACTTGGAGCTATTTTTCATGGTTTCTGCATCTTGTTCTGCAAAGGTGATAGTCATTATCATCTAATATTTTAAAGCACTAAATCAGTGGTCAGCAAACTGGGGCTTGCCAGCCACATGTGGCTCTTTGGGCACTTAAGTGTGACTCTTCCACAAAATACCAGGTGTGGGCTCGCACATACAGTGCGATTGAAACTTCATGGCCTTTTCGCAGAAGTCGGTTTTCGTCTCAAAAGAAGTTTCAATCCTTGTACTGTTGATATTTGGCTCTGTTGACTAAATGAGTTTGCCAACCACTGCACTAAATAGCTTACAAAGCATTCTCATTTGATCATGTTGATGTTCGTATATGCTGGCCTAAAGATTCAATGTGATTTTGGTGCAGTCATGGAATTTCTGAGGGAGAAAAGAAATTCAGTTTAGAGGTGTCACCTGTGTCCGAATGTGTGCCCATTATGGTCATTGCCAACTGATGATGGTGTTGTTTCTCCTTAAACCCATCTGTGACCTTAATACAGCATTATTGCAGCCATCCCCATTTCAGTTAGATGGGCATGTGAAATGAATTCTAACCGCCATCTCTAAACCAGTCAGTGCCCCCATAATTTGGAACACTGATAACAAAGACTGTCTTGGTTGGAACTGAGATGGAAGTGAAATGTTTTGACAGTTGGTATAGTCTATATTCTCATTTATATTATTATTTATATTTGCAAGAATTTTATTGGCAAGGTCATATGCCTTAGACAAGTAAAATACTTTCTCTGTGCATATTCTCCTTATTTTAAAAGAGTTAATTTTACTAATGTTCATAGTAGCATTCCTCACAGTAACCTAAAGTGGAAGCAATTCAAATGTCCATTAACAGATAAATGGATTTAAAAAATGTAGTGTAGACATACAGTGTAATATTATTTAGCTATTAAAAGTAATGAAGCTCCAATACATGCTTTAACATGAACCTTGAAGACATAATGCTAAATGAAGTAAATAAGCCAGACACAAAGGACAAATATTGTCTGATTCCACTTGTATGAGATACCTAGAATAGTCAAATTCTTAGAGATATAAAGTAGAATAATGGCTTCCATGGGGGGGGAGATGGGGGAGTTATTGTTTAATGGATATAGAGTTTCTGTTTGGGATTGTGAAAAATTTTGGAAATAGTGGTGATGGGGATACAACGTTATGAATGTTCTTAATGCCACTGAATTATACATCTAAAAATAGTTAAAATGATACATTTTATTTTATGTATATTTTACCAAAATAAAAACAATACAAAAGAAAAGGTTAATATTTTTTGTACCTTTCTTATAAGGTAATTGTGAAAGGGAAATAATATCAGAATATTTTACAAATGTCATTGGGATTATCTTTAAATATCTGGAAAATATTTAAGAAGTCTCAAAACAAGCCTTTGAGTTGCTCTTTCTTCTTTGTATAGTCCCTTATATATTTTTCACACAAGGAGAAGTTGATTTACGTAAATTGAAAGTTAACTTATTAAAAAAATTTAAACCTAATAATATTTAGCAACAGTTGCCATAATTTGCCTTGTACATGGGTTGGTATGAATTAGGTTGAGTATTAAAATTAAACTTAGAAATGGATATTATTGAGTTTATCCCTAAATAGCTTTTCAGTTACACCTATTTTATTAAATAGCATAAAAACAACACTAGCCTTTCATTCCAACTCATCTATATAATTTTTTTAAATTGTACAAAATATAGTCTTAAGATGTTTTACAGGAAATTTTTTGTTTTCTTAATGAGAATGAATTTTACTTATTATATAAGCAAAAAAATTTTAAGTATTCTTTGTGCCGTTATATGAAAAGAATTTTAGCAGGAGATGGTAGACCTCATTTTTTAGGAAAAACACATATGTGTTTTCTTTTCCTGTATGCATCATTATTTTGCTTAGAGTTTAAAAAATAAGCATTATAACACATATGTAATAGTACAATCAATAAAGAAATTTTTTAAAAAGCAGGATAAAGTAAATGTAACAAATTTGCTAAGGAGCAACCTGAACAGATCTCACTCTTATTTATTGTTCTTTTTTAAATCCCCATCTAGATTTGGAGGCTGATATGTGGAAGAATAATTTGCCTTGATTTGAAAGATAGTTTCTGCAGTAGTCTGCTTATTTATAATTTTAGGATATTTGAAAGAAGATATGGAAGCAGAAAGTTTGCAGTAAGTTTTTATGTATTTCCCCTTTGCTGTTAGGTTAGAGAAAAGCATTCTTTTGTTTTTTATTATATTTAAATAGTTTTATTTTGTTATTATTAACAGTTACCTTTAATTACATGATCTTCTATCTGAATTGGAACATAGACATTAACCAAATAAAAATTTTGATTTAATTCACTAGCATAATAAAATAATGATGATGGTAATAGGTCATAATATCAGGTATGAGTGGGTACTAACAATTTTAATTAGGATTTTGACTTTAATTTCTAATTATTTTGCTTAATGGTTTATGTGTTACTTGTTAAAAATAAATCATGCTATTAATGTGTTTGACCAATATAGTTTTATAAGTTTGTTTTTATTAGAAAAGACTATTTATATATATATTTGAACTGGTTCTAATTAAATAAATGTTAATTCATTTTTAGAAGACTCCTCTATATAATGCTTTGTTTTGTTTTTAGTCCTTTTTGCTGGGTTCCTGGGTTTTGTCAGCCTTGGTTGACTTCATCCTTGTTGAAGCTATGTGGTATCTCTTTGGTATTACTGCATCCAGGAACTTGCCGTCTGGATTGTAAGTAGCTCTCAAAGATTAGCTTATTTTATAACTAATTAAATCTGATTTAAAGTAGTGGTGTACATGAAAGCATTAAAATAATATTTTAAACTTTTAGACACAGTAGAATTGATTTTATGTATTAAAAAATCCAGTGTATACTTATACTCTCATTATGTTCTTGAAACAAAATTTATTTTACTTTCACTTTTTTTTTTAGCTTTGAAGCACCATGTTTTAGGGAATTTTTAATGAATTTTCTGTTCTAATTCTGAAGATAGAATTAGTTTTATGTGTTTATTTTATAGTGATATTTTGTCTATTTAGTTTTGTGAACTAATTAAACACAAAAATACAAAGTTTAATTAATTAGATTAGATTAGGGGAAATTAATTTGAAGTTAAGCTTCTGAAGAATAATGTTTTTTAAAAATTGTCATTGTTTAATACTTCCACCAAAGATAAAACAAAGTCACTATGTAAGTTATTTTTAGCTAAACTTGCAATAGTCAATCTAACTCATGGAGTATATGCTTTCATAAGATGTTGATCTTTTTTTAACAACAAAACAAAAAAATTTGTATTAGTTTATGAAATATAGAGGCCCAGTGCACGGGATTTATGCACTGGTGGGGGCATGGCCTGTGGGGATTGGCCCACTTTGGGAGTGCCGTTCATCCAGTCAGCTGAGCAGCTGTGGACCCCCTCCTCCCCCCTGAGTGGCTACTTCTGCTGTGGGAGCACCGCTCATCCCGGTCAGCAGAGTGGCACTCCCACTGTGAGAGCACACTGACCACCAGGGGGCAGCTCCTGCATTGAGCATCTGTCCCTGGTGGTCAGTGCGTGTCATAGCGATTGGTCAAGTGTCATTCTGGTTATTGTGCCATCCAGTTGGTGGGCATTTATTATATAGGATTTAGTATCTAGGAGCAGAGTTGTTAGCACATATAAGTGAGCTTGAAGCATCTCTAAATTATATTTAGATATAATTTGAGATTCTTTGAAATTAAGATACCAGATATTTAAAATTCTGTGTGACTAACTGCAGCCTTATTTTAATTTTGAATTTGTGTTTTTGAAAACTATTAGATGATTGTATGTGTTTTGACTCAAATTCACGTTGGATCGCTATTTTAAAAATGCAGTTAATGACTAATAGCTTTCACACTTACATTGTTAATTTACATTGTAGCTGTCCTTTATGAGATTTACTTACAGTGGGTATGAGTATTGTTAATAATGTATGGTTCTGAATAATAATTGGAGACAAAATTTTGTGTCATAATTATTACACAGTTTTTGTTGAGGTACATAGATTGTAATTGTAATGAGACTGAGAAGTTTGAGTTGACTATTCTGCTATTGTGGAAAAGAGTGTAGTTATCAGGAATGATTTCCTATTGAGTCAGGAAAGCAGCAACATTACTGAATCATAGGTTTTTCTCAAACATTTCTCATTCAGGCCAGTTATCTTTAGTTATCTATAAGGCCTACTGAGTTATACAGAACAGTATATATGTATCATGTGAGTTTGTCTCAGAATAAACTTTGGGCATGAGTAGTAATATAGCTTTTAACTCTTATTTAGATTGTCCGCTTGTCTGATGACCTTTTTTCCTATTGCACAAAGAGTTGAGTGACAGTTATTTCTTTGTATGACTAACATTTATTTCTTTTAAATATATTTTATTGATTTTTCACAGAGAGGAAGAGAGAGGGATAGAGAGTTAGAAACATTGATGAGAGAGAATCATCGATTAGCTGCCTCTTGCACACCCTCCACCGGGGATGTGCCCGCAACCAAGGTACATGCCCTTGCCCGGAATTGAACCTGGGATCTTTCAGTCCGCAGGCTGAGGTTCTATCCACTGAGCCAAACTGGTCCTGGCAACATTTATTTCTTTATAAAATCCTGTTAATTGGTTCTTAGAAGGAGGATTTATATTAGAAGGAGGAACATAAATCTTTAATTCAGTATAGTGACTTTGGCCTGCCAGTGTGACTCAGCAATTGAGCGTTGACCCAGGAACCAATAGGTCACCTGTTTGATTCCCAGTCAGGGCCCATGCCTGGGTGGCTTGATCCCCAGTAGGGGGTGTGCAGGAGGCAGCTGATGGATGATATTTCTCTCTCATCGATGTTTCTATCTCCCTATCCCTCTGCCTCCTTTTTCTCTAAAAACTAATAAGAACATATTTAAAAAATAAATAAATAAACTTTGCATTTTGTAAATATATCTTTTATTTGATGAGAGCAAGGCTTCACAAACTCAGGAAAGGAAACTACTCTCTTTTTTTGGTCAACATGCTTTCTAATTTGCAGTGTTTTTTACATAACATCTTGTTTCCTTTTTTTGTGGCTATCAATTCCAAATTTATCTGCCCTTTCTATAATTCTTGACTTCGGATTAAATTCACTCCCCCCCCCCCACCTTTTTTTTTAACCTTACCACTTTTAAAATTTATCTAATAAATTTCACCAATATCCAACTAATTTCTAAAGCCAGTGGTTTATTTTCAGTTGTCTTTGACCTTTTAATAGCACATTAAGTACCGTGTTTCCCCGAAAATAAGACATCCTCCGAAAATAAGACCTAGCGCATGGAAAGATAAGACATCCCCTGAAAATAAGACCTACTGCAACTTTGGGAGAAAAATTAATATAAGACACTGTCTTATTTTCAGGGAAACAGGTACTTTTGACCTCCCATTACTTAATAAAATAACTGCCCCCCTGAGTCCTAGCATCTACTCTCTTCCTGTCCTTTTTGACCTTATTTACTGTCTATGCTCCTTTCTCAACTTTATTTCAAGTGCCTCTAGGCTGTCTTGACCACTCCCATGACTTCAACTGCAGTTAGTGTCTGTGGTTTGTTTCCCAACACTCTATTTCCAGTCCATAATACTTTCCTGTAGCTATGAGAATGTTTACATCCCATAAGCTTGTTTCCTTTTTATTATTATTAAAAAAAAAAAAAAAAAAAAAAAAACACCAAAAAACTGGTGGTTAACATGAAAAAGAGAACTGAATTTGGTTTTTAATCCTCTTTGGACCTTAGTTTCTTTACATTTAAAAGCAGCAGATCATCTAAGGGATCTTCTTACACTAAAATGCTTTTTTGGGTTTATTTTTAAAGAATATTAATTTATCCATATTAATTATAGAAATCAAGTGATAACTAATGCATTCATTTGATTCTAAGACCTATTGGGAGGTGATTATGTTAAGAGTAATAAAAGCGATTTAGCAGAGAGGAAGTTAACAGTTAACTCATTTGGATACATATTTAGAATATAGGCTTTACAGATTATATAGTTCACTAGAGGCCTGGTGCATGAGATTCGGGCCTGCGTCCTAGTCCTCTGGCAGTCTGGAAGCCCTCTGGGGATGTCTGACTGACCACTTAGGGGGAGGGGCCTAAGCTGGCAGTCAAACACCCTTAGTGCTGCCACAGAGGTGGGAGAGGCTCCCGCCACCACCACTGCACTCTCCAACCATGGCCCAGCTTCTGGGTTTCTGGCTGAGCTGTGCTGCCCCTGTGGGAGTTGAGCGTCTGCCCCCTGATGGTCAGTGCACGTCATAGCAACCAGTTGTTCTGCTTTTCAGTCGATTTGCATATTACCCTTTTATTATATAGGATTTCCTTTTCTTTTTAAATGGAGAAGTTACTTGGTTTGTTACTTTATTAGGGAAAATTAAACGGCAAGGTCCTTGACTAGTGCTTTTTATACTGTGACATATGACCTGAAAAAAAGTTAATCTCTTTTGTAATGTGGTCTTTAATCACATAAGAAGAGCAACTCTTTATATTGGAGAAAGATATTTTACCAAATAGCAGAAACATGTCACAGGAAAAAAACTTGGATTATTGGTCAGAAATAGGGTCTTGGGTTAGGTTTTTCCTATTGGTCTTTCTGGTGCTAAGAAGGTTCTTAGTGTTTATTGGATTACTTTAGGCTGTTTGCAAAAGAAAATGAATTTAGAATAGGGAAGGGCTGATGGCCACGATCTCCACAGGCTCACTCAAATGCTTGCTCCCACTAATTTTGCTCTGCAGCAAATAATAGTGATGAGATGAATATAGTTGTTTTTGTAAGGATCCTGGAAGTTTAACTTCAAACAAAAGAATGTTGGGTTTGGACCACCAATCCAGAGTACAAATTAAACCAAAGGGGGCTATATCTAGCTGGAAAATACTTTCATCAAATTATTTCAAACAGTAGCTGGATTTTCTTTGCCTACTGCCTTGATTAACATTATGATTTACTTGCTCATGAATTAAATCCAAAAAGATAAGTCAACGATATATTTAGATAAGGCTTGAATATGAAACATAAATTGGATGTTTTCTCCTAGCACTTCATGAAAATGTCCTATATAAGTTTTAAAAATAAAAATAATTAATGTATTAGAATACTTTAGAATACTTAATTATGTTGCCACAATAAGATCCCACAAAAGAGTTTTTAAGGTTTATTTATTTATTTATTTCAGGAAAGAAGGGACTTGATAATATACAAAATGTCCACTAACTCTAGGGATAATTAGTAAAGTGAATTTAAGGAGGTTGAAGACAAAAAACTTCCTACTCATAACATGTCACTGTTTATGTTGCTTAGTGACCGCAAACTAGCTGATCGGAAGCTTTTCCTGCGAACGCTCCGAAGGTAATTGCGGTATAGCATGACACTAATGACTCGAGCCTGAAATTGTTTTGAAACAATGTAGTAGAGAATCACATCCAGACAGGTACTGAGGTTCATCAAGAAGGTGGTAAAGGCTCCCCAGGGACTGTAACTGTTCTCATCCCCTGCCAACATCAGGAAAGCAAAACAGATGTGGAAAGGCATGAAGCAGACGATCACCTGCACCAGGAGGGTGATGATGATCCTTATAGACTTCTCTTTGACTTTTGGTTTGAGCTTCGATGTCCTACCATGGAGCAGACTATGAATAATGACCAAGTAGCACCCAATCATGATGAACAGAGGAATCAAGAAAAAAAATATCAGTCGAGTG